GAGAGAGAGAGAGAGAGAGAGAGAGAGAGTCCCAAGCAGTTGCTTTGCTGGCGTGGGGCTCAAACTCATGAAACTGTGAGATCATACATGTCCTGACCCGAAACCAAGAGCTGGACACTCAACCAGCTGAGCCACCCAGGCACCTCTGAAGTTAAAATTTTTAAAAAGGGTACTAACACCTAACCTTTGTAAAATGATTCATGGTTTACAAATTTTTCTTATATGCTTCATTTAATTCTATAAAATAGTTATGATATTCATTATGTAGATGAGGATATAGAGGCATCAGAATTTCCTTGGTATCGTATGAAAATCATTACCCTTAACTTAAAATGTGTAAATTTTAAAACTTTCAGAGAAAAGATTGGCTTGTTTCTGTGACATGATGACCATTGACAAGACTATTTAAGAAGCTAAGGAAGTAATGAAAATTTGGTTGTGCAAAGGAGATCCTGAGAAGATTAATAGCAAGCAGGGCCAAATTACCCATGAGGTGCAGGAGGCACAGTACTTAGGGTCCATGATACTTTTAGGACCCCATGAAAATATTTTAATTTCTTTTAAAATTTGAAGAAGAAATGAATGTATCATCATGAATTCAGCCTGTATCTGTCTGTATCTGTATATATTTTACACCAACATAGTCATAAAATACAATTATGTAAATAAACACACATATTTTCAAATGTATTTTCTAATCGAGGAAGGGGCTTATGAAGGTAAAACCAGGAAAGTCATAATGTTGCCCTGATAGTGAGGTGATAACAGAAACCTGTCTGGTTGCACAGGGCATTCTCCATTGAGTTCCAATTTCGGAAGGTTGATGCTTGGCTGGGAAGAAGGAAACAAAAGCAACTGTCAGGATACTTATGTTCCAAATGAGTGAGTCTTGCAAGAGAAAGGCAGGCAGTAAAAATGATTTTTTAAGTTAAGTATTAAGGAGATCAAGGGGGATACAGGCCCCTTGGCTGTAAAATGTTACTTGTCAACAAAGAGAGAGTGGATGTGATGGAACTGTCATCACCTGCCCTGACCAGAGTTGGTTTGATGTTCATTCATTTGTTTACTCATCCATCCCTGTTGCCTTAAATAAAGAACCTTATCCCATACTATAAGACCCTATCTGACCCACAGTCAAATGGACCATGTCTGGACATCTGATCTCTGAGTAGCCTACACGGTTGTCAACAATATTGCACTTTTTGGTGTGCCCTGGGGATTGAGCCAATCATATACCCCATCTCATGTCTTTCAAGTAAAATGCAGTTTTACTGCACAGTAATGAAACAAGGGCAGTTCCTGCACAGTAATGAAACAGGAACAAAGAGACCTAGGAAATAACTGAATCCCATTAGGGGGAAGACTACAAGGCTGCTCCCTGGACAGCCGCTGAGCTCTCCAGAGCTACCTATGCTCTGAAACCAATCTTTAGCTCCGGTTCCCAGTAGGTGCTAACAGTGCTGTTCCCATCCTGGTGTCTTATTTATTTATTTATTTCTGAGAGAGAGAGAGAGAGAGAGAGAGAGAGAGAGAGAGAGAGAGAATGCACATGTGCAAGCAGGGGGGAGTGGTAGAGGGAGAGGGAGAGAGAGAGTCTTAAGCAGTCTCCACGCTCAGCAAGGAACCCATGCAGAGCTCTGTCTCACAGCTGTGAGATCCTGACCTGAGCTGAAATTGAGAGTTGGACGCTTAACTGACTGAGCCACCCAGCTGCGCTTCATGCATCCTGGAGTCTTAAGTAAACCCCTTTTCTTTATCTGAATCTCCTGTCCCTGTTTCTTGCAAGCAGTCTCGATGAGGATGGAACTCCTGTTTTGCTCTTATCTGCCTTAGTGGTAGGGATTTCCCTGTGGTCTGTAAAAGCTAGCATAAATAGGAGTACTGTGAGGAAATGTCACCTTCCTTCATATAAAATCCAGTACCTCCAGTGGAAGGAGAATTACCTGATGAACTAAAGACAAAATATCCCAGAGATGAGGTATCTCTTAGGATGCTTTTGACTGCAGGTAACAGAAAACCCAATTTAAAAAGGCTTAAACTCTAAGTGGGGGGTCCGGGGGGAGGGATGGAATACAATAAGATAGTGTCATTCCTTTTATTCAAGCCTGCCTCCTTCCTCTCTGATCTTATCTCCTATACTTTCAGCCTTGCTCATTGCTCCCTACTATTTCCATCCCTATTGTTTTCATAGATTGGGGAACCATAGCTAATAGATTTGGGTGTTAAACCAAATGCTTCTTTCCCGTCAGGGCTCTGAAGAAAATTTGCTCAGAGATGGTAAAACAAGACTGAATACCAAATTGATTGCCTTTGTTTAATCCCAAATGCTACTAGAATGAAGCATTCTGGTATGTCAGAGTTGACAACATGAGAGACTCTCTGCTTTTAAGAAA